TCTACGCAGTCATTCTTCATCCCTGGCCAGGTATACGTGCGCATCAGATTGGCCAAAGTCTTTTGCCAACCGAAATGACCCTCTGTGTCGTGACACTCCCCCATAATCAGACTACGGATCTCTTCGCTATTGGGGATGCACAACCGGTCAAAGACATTAGTCTTCTCGAAGAGTAACCCTCCAGTAGTGCGGTAGTTCGGCTCGGTCTCTGGGGCCTCCTTGACTCGCGTGAGGAGCTCACTATAGATAGGGTCCTGCGCGTAGGCTTCTCTAACCTACTGCTGCAGATCCTTTCCTATATCGAGGTAATGTACTATTGCCCCAAAGTAATCTGCTCTCCTACTCAGAGCATCCGCGACTACGTTGTACTTCCCTTTGACAGGCTTGAGCTCGAAGTCGTACTGATTTATCTCTGCGGCCCACCTAGTAAGCTTAGGTGTCATCTTGGCCTGGGTCTTTAACCACCATAACGTTTCATGGTCCGAATAGACTTTGAAGTGCCTCCCAAGCAAGTAGTGCTTCCAGTGGTCTAATGCTTGCCTGAGAGCGTAGAGTTCCCTCTCATAGGTAGATGTCGCAACCTTCTCTGAAGGCATCCTAGCGGACATGAACTCTACGGGTCTATAGCCAGTGCCATCGTCTTGCTGTAACACTGCACCTATGCCGTACTGGCTAGCATCCGTAGTAACAACAAAAGGCAAGGACGGGTCGGCGACCTTAAGGACCGGACACTCTATCAACGCCTGCTTTAGCTTCTTCATGGCGGACGTGCATTCCTTGTCCCACTTCCAGATTGTCCCACTTCCAGATTGTCTCTTTTCTCAGCAATCTGCGAAGGGGTGCAGCGATGGTGGAGAAGTTCCTTACGAACTTCCTGTAGTAATTCGCTAAGCCCAGGAACGAGCGCAACTCTGTCAGCGTACGTGGCGTGGGCCAATCTCTAATCGCTGCGATCTTGCTATCGTCTCGCTTAAGACGTGGCCTAGATACAAAACTTGGATCTTCGCCCAATCGCACTTCTTTGCATTGATCTTGAAGTTAGCTTCTCTCAGCTTCTCCAAGACTTGCCTGAAATGACCCCGATGCTCTTCGAGGGTCCGGCTAAACACTAGGATGTCATCTAGATAAACTACAACGAATYTGTCTAACCACGGCCTAAAMAAATCATTCATACAYCGCTGAAAAGTTGTTGGCGCATTGGTTAGTCCAAAGGGCATCACTATAAACTCATAATGCCCGTACCTAGTCCGGAAGGCTGTCTTATACTGATCATCAGGGTGTACCTCTATCTGATGATATCCGGACTTTAAGTCTATCTTAGAGAAATACTTAGCCCCCTGCACTCGATCTAAGAGATCGTCGATCCTAGGCAGTGGCTCAGCATTCTTTACTGTAATAGCATTCAGACCTCTATAGTCTATGCACATTCTCAGCTCTCCCTCTTTCTTAGGAACAGAGAGAACAGGCGCTCCGAAAGGAGACGAACTGGGCCCAATCCAACCCTTCTCGAGGAGCTCGTCTAATTGCTTGCGAAGCTCCTCTAACTCCCGCGGGGACATCCTATACACAGCACCCTTAGGAGTTCTACTGCCAGGCTCTATCTCGATACGGTGCTGGATGGGCCGCGGCACCGTGCCTGTCGGCGGCTCGGTCAAATCCTTAAACTCCTCCAGCAGCTTGGCAATCGCAGGGTCCATCGGCTTCTCTTCCGTAGGCTCAGTGACGGGCCTAACATAGGCAACAAAGACCTGTTCCTCTAATTTCTCCTTCTTCACCAATCTGGCGAACGCAGGGGCACTAAGGCAGCAATGTGCCAAGGAATTCTCTACTCCTGACACATGAAACAGGCGGGCGGTCTTAGCCTCCCCTGCAGAACTAGGGAGTCTACACTCGTGCTCCTTCAGATGGAGCGTTGCCCCGGCTGCCTCTCCCCAATCCATTCCCAGTACTATATCAAACGGGAGGTTGTCCTCTACGAGGAGAGTCAGGGAGTGGAGGGCCTTCTCCACCTTCCCACCTTTCTCTAGGCGGAAATACGTCTGAACTCCCTCTACGTAATCCTCTACAACCATGGTACGATTTTCCGCGAGGATACTAACTATGGGGTCTGTCAGTTTCTGGACCTTAAGTCCCAGCCTCAACTTCTGCAGCGCTTTCCTACTAATATAGCTGCGAGTGGCCCCTGAGTCTACTAGGGCCCCTACTCTACTTCTAAAAATCTCTGCATCTAATAAAATCAGCTGCCCTTTATTCTCCTTCTTCATCTTGGCCCAGGCGGGC